CAACCTCCCGAAACCCCATTAAACCCCCTCAGCTATTGACCCCCTGAACCCCCTTAAACCCTCCCCAGACCCTCCCGAAACCCTCCCTCAACCCTCCCTCAACCCTAAACCCTCAAACTCGCAGCCAGTCTCAGCCGAAGTGCTTGCGGACAGCTGGAAAAAGCACCATCGGCATGACCTCTGCAGATGCCATTGAGGTCGGCGGGTTTAGGGTTCAGGGGTTTAGGGTTGGGGGTTTGGGGGTTGAGGGTTCAGGGTTTAGGGTTTAGGGTTTAGGGTTCAGGGTTTAGGGTTTAGGGCCCTTCAATCATCCCCCAATGACTCAAGGGATACCAAAAGCATTCCGGCTGGCACGGCACCCAGTAGGGCTTCGATTTATGGAGCTGGCAACGAGCTCACAAAACTTCGGGCACCTCTTCTAGTACAAGAGGTCTTGTGTTCGGGGTTTGGTCGCATCTCTCCTTTACGCTCCCTAGACCTCTAAAGCCCAACGGGGTTTAAGGTCTAGGGCTTAAGGCTTAGGGCTTAGGGGGCTTATGGAGCTTAGGGGGTTTAGGGGGTTTGGGGGGTTTAGGGGGTTTGGGGGGTTTGGGGGGGTTTAGGGGGTTTTGGGGGTCTAGGGGGTTTAGGGGGTTAAGGGGGTTAAGGGGGTCTAGGGGGTTTAGGGGGCTAGCGGCGAGTTGCAGGAACTAAACCCTCAACCCACCCGGGCCCCAAGACTTGAAGTGGGGATATGGGCTTTGGGTTTGGGGTTCAGGGTTTTGGGGTTCGAGCCGAGGGTTCAGGGTTTGCTTTTTAGGGTTCAGGGTTTAGGGCTTCGGGTTTAGGGTTGTTCAGGCTTTAAGTCTTTGAGTTTAGGATTGCGCACAGCCGGGCGAACATCTTAGTCCCGTGCACCATGGTGTCCGGTGCCTGCAGCAGTACACCAGCATCCCGAAAGGACCAAACGGTTTAGGGGCTTATGGTTTGGGACTCAGGGTTTAGGTTTCGGGGTTTGACTGCAGAGAAGAACCTTCTTGATTTGAACATCTCAGCCCCTGCTTGCAACAAACAATGGTGGTGGATAAGAACGGATAAGAATGCTGCAACATCAGAAGATGGGGGGGTTCAGCTTCTGCAAGATGGTGACGAGGATGATGGTGATGGAAGTTGGCAAGTAATGATACGTGTGGAGAGCGCACATGACCATATAACAGCCAAGAGGATGATGAATTTCCGGATGCTGATAAGCGCTGAACGACCCAAATCTGCAAATGCAGGCTGCATTCTGCCTGCCAGCATCCTTCCAAGCACCAAAAAATCGAGTTCCAGGTTGTGCTTGTTTCTGTTCTCGGTGATTCTTGTTCCGGTGGCGATGACCATGATTGCGATGATGACGATGAATAAGTATGTAAGTACTACGATGACGACCATGACGACGACGACGCCTATTCCGATCACTAAAACTAACTTGACCATAGCTGAAGTGGGGTAGTTCCTCAAAGTAATCTGGCGGACACGTTTTATGCGAATGCCTGACCCTAAACCTTGCCTGCAACCCTAAGGAGCAGGGCTTCAGTGTTTTCAGGGTTTTCAGGGCTTAGGGTTTAGGGCTCTTTAAGTTTAGGGTTTAGTGTTTAGGGCTTAGGGCTTAGGGTTTAGGGTTTAGGGTTTAGGGTTTAGGGTTTAGGGTTTAGGGTTTAGGGTTTAGGGTTTAGGGTTGAGGGTTGAGGGTTGAGGGTTGAGGGTTGAGGGTTGAGGGTTTAGGGTTTAGGCTGGGGTCTTGGACCCATCTGGGCCTTCAACTCCGGCGATGTACAGCACCTGCGGTCGGTGCCTGGCAAAAGGCAGCGGCTTAGGGTTTAGGCCTGGTAGGGTTTAGGGTTTGGGGTTTGGGGTTTGGGGTTTGGGGTTTGGGGTTTGGGGTTTCGGGTTTAGGGTTTAGGGTTTGGGGTTTCGGGGTTAAAGGGCTTAGGGTCTAGGCCAGAGGCGCAGGTTGGGCGGATCTCAAGAGCATTTCGGCTTTCGGGTTTGGGGGGTTGGGCAAGCCGCCCCCCGAAGCCCTAAGAAGAAACCGAAGCCCAAACAACCCAAACAACCCAAACAACCCAAACAACCCAAACAACCCAAACAACCAAACAACCCAAACAACCCAAACCACCCAAACAACCCAAACATCCCCAAACATCCCCAAACATCCCAAACTTGCCCGATTGCACACCACCTAACCCAGGTGCAAGCATCGGGTCGGGTGCCGTTTCGGCCCGCGGCTTGGCCTTGAGGCTTGGAGGGTTTAGGGTTTAGGGTTTGGGGTTTAGGGTTTAGGGTTTGGGGTTTAGGGTTTAGGGTTTCGGGTTTGGGGTTCAGGGTCTTGGGGCTTAGGGAGAGCGTAGGGTTCGGGGGTTCGGTCTAGGGAAGCCGTCAAATTCCCAAAGAATGCACGAACCCTTAAAGCCCGACACCAAAAGAACCCACCGCAACAAGGTCTCTTGGGGTGGGGCTACCTGAAACGGCACCTGAAACGCCTGAAACCCTACAGTAGCCCCTGAAGCTCCAAAACCCCAAAACGCCAGCAAACCATTGAGCCCTGAAACCCCAAACCCCTAAACCAGCCCCTCAGCCCCTAAGCCACCCTAAACCCCAAACCCTACACCCTAAACCCTAAACCCCTAAACCTGTCTCCAACACGATAGGGGCCCCAGCGCAGACGGCTCCCTGACTTCATTCATCCTCAGGGGGCTGTTGCTTTCGGGGATTTAGGGCTTGTCGGGTTTAAGGGCTTTGGGGTTTAGAGTTTCTGGGTTGAGGGCTTTAGGGAGTTAAGGGCTTTGAAGTTTTTGGGTTCAGGGTTCAGGGTGTCTTGCGGGGCTCAGGGTTTAAGGGGTTTGGGCCTTTTCAAGGGTTAGGGCTGGTCTAGTTCGGGGCGAGGGTTTTGGGATACGCAGGCCTTATCGCAGTGTATTCTAGGATTTCAGGTCAGCGAGGTATATATGTATGTGGCTGATACCTTCAGGGTTCTCTATGCTTAGCTTCTAAGTGCAGGAAGCAAAAACGAAGCAAAATGTTTTGTTTATGTTTGTCCGTAAGCAAAAACATACGCGCCAAGAAGTTTCAGGACGTGCTTTGTTTTGCTTTTCAAAATGGAAAAGTTTTTGTTTTTGCGGCGGTTGTGAGGTCTGACTTGCTAGAGGCTGCACGGATAGCTGGTGGACACAAGGTTTTTGCACGCAGTTCACCATTGAGCTATGGCCGTTCTGGACTTGTTTTTGCCTTGCGTGAGCGGCAAGCAAGGAGCTGCTTGAGCATGCTTTCAACCGGGGTGTGTTTGTGTCTATGGCACAGACTAACAACTCTGAAAACTGTTTTGTTGTTTTTTAATGCTTTGATTTGTTTGTCTTTCATGATGAATGTTGAAAACTGTTGTTTGCGGTTGTCTTTGCGGCGCTTCTTTACGCTGATGTCTTTGTGGGTGGCTTGCTTTTGTTTTCGATTGTGATTTGCGCGCACGTAGAATATATTCCCAGAAAATTATCTCTACACTTGAATTCTGACAACTTTTTGTGTGTGCGTGCGCTTTGTGATGCTTCTTCATGCTGGTCTTTTTGTGAGCTGCTTGCCAGGCTTGCCAATGTTTTTCGATTGCGATTCACTTGCACGTAGAATATACTCGCAAGAAATTATCCCCTACACCTAAGTTCTGAAAATTGCTTTTGTGTGTTTTGTGACGATTCTTCAAGTTAATGTTTTCGTGGCTCAGAAACTCGGCAGGCGTCCTTACGGTAAACTAACTGAAAAGAAATGAACGTGACACAACTCGCCAGCGAGGTATACGCACCACCGGAGCGCCTTAGCTACAGCGTTTAGGTACCATTACACACCCGTGCACTTGCGCACACATATGCACACGTACGACTACGCACGCAGATGATTGAGAGTGTCTCAGCCAGATGACGTTTTGAAGTTGGCGCGTTCTCGGCCGGGCTGGCGGCCTCGCACCTTTTCTCAAGTAAGCGTGACAGGCGCTGAAAAGGCAACAGCGATGCATAGAATGGTCACTTGAACTTCTACATCCAGGACACGCAGTGTCTTCGCACGCGAACCACTGGATTCTGGACCAACGAACCATCAGGACCTGCTGGTTCACGTTGTTGCGCGAAAGACATATGTCCTTTGTGGTCTTCATTTCAGAAGCAGTCTTGCTGAGGCAGCGGCGGTCTGAAGGCAAGGAAAGCCTAGGAATGACAGAGGTTCAGAGATACAAAAGGCTGCGTCATCAACTTTGCCACGATGTCTGCTGCGCGACACATGTATTGTCTTCGGCAACGCGTAAGAAAAATGCTGAATCTACAATTTTACTGCGTTGCATCCATATTGTACGGCCCAGATATATTGGCAACATCGGTTTCAGTAGAGACGCAAGCATTGAGCGGCGGACTGATGTCTGTTCCTGCTGAGTATGAGTTTGGCTCAACACTGCATGGGTGATTATGCAGTCATATGGAACGCATTCGACAACACTCTTACTTTGCAGCGAAAGTCACTGTGTGTCGGCTGCACGAATTTGGATTTACAACTTGTTCGGTTAAACTGGCCGTAACATCCAACAACTTGAATCTAAAGGCATTTTGCGCAAACTCCGCTTCTCCAAAACTGCAGCGCTGCCAACCCATGTCATAGAGGCAGGCAACCGGCTCTGGGGACTACTGTGAGCGACAGTCCGGACGCGGCTGTGTTCCGGACCGTGAAACGTAGGTTCTATGGAGCTGGGACCACCCCGCCCTCCCCGTACCTCCCTGTCCATCTCTCCCTCGAAGGCAAGGGTTCAGGATTACGGCTCGGTAGGGAGTGTGATGGGGGCAGCTGGCGGGAGTACGTGAAGAGCGCCCGAGCACGTGAAGAGTGTGCCTCCCTTCCCCTCCCCGGAGTGGCTCCCTGTTTTGCCGCCGCGCACACACTGCTGCGGACGGCGGGATCATCTGACCCAGCGCACGAGCTGAACCTGAGCGGACGCAGGGTTGTGCTTATTCGGAGCCCGCGGCGAGCTTCACCCCAAGCTGCAAGGTCAGGCCCGCTGACGCTGGATCGTCCACCGGATCGATCCGCTGGCAAATGTTTTGCACTCGGAGGCATTGTGGCGATGTCTGAGTGTTGCGCTGTCTCAGATCGTAGCCGCCGCCTTTGAGTCGAGAAGCCAAATGAGTGTTTTCGATTCTTGCGCGGCTCCGGGCAGTTTGAGCCGGGAAAGGGACATTGCGGCTGCTGCTGATAGAGCCCCGGGCGCATCTTCATGACACGGGCCACGATCGAGCGAGAGGTTTCGCTGCCGTGTTCCGTGTCAGTGAAGACGTAGCGCCGGCCACCCCACTGATTGAAGCTCGCGGGCTGCCTTTTCCTGAGCAGGTTTCGGGAGACTTGTGGGTAGAGCTGGTCGTACGCGTCCTCCAGCTCCTGGTCGAACATGTCCTCAAGGTTGTTCAAACTCGCGGCACGTCGTTGACGTCAGGACTGGAATTTGCCAAAATCCTAGTCCGAAGCATGGGTTCCACATCTTGCGAGACCTAATTCGATGCGCCTGCCTTCTTGCTCTTCACCGCCGACACGAAAGGAGGTGACGGCAGAAACTCGTCCTTGACCCCACAATATCCAAGATAGCAGTTGTGGACTGCTTTATGAAAAAAAACAGTACTGATGACAAATCCACAAGCGTACATCACACGCACTGATGAATATTTTCTTGCTCGGTAGTTGAAGTTCAATAGGTGACACACTACTTACTCCTTAAGATTGTTTCAAAATGTTGGTGTTTAAATGCGTTACTAATCTCATAGTTTCCAAAAACCCTACCACGGGTAGCAAATACACGAAAACTAATTCAAGCAAAATAGACCCAAAAGAGCTCTCTCTCTCTCACATATATATATATATATGGATTGGGTCTGGGGGTTTTGGAACGCACTGGGGATCGCGCTCGCGCTCACGCAGGTTCCAGTCTTACAGGGCGTTGTCTCCCGAGGCACCCGCACTCCAAGTTTCTCGCCATAGAAGCTCTGGGATGCGCCCTCTAACGCGACCCCTCAGTCCCCCCCTCTGCACTCGAAATCCCACTGAACCCCAAATAATTCCGGCCACGCCCGAAGCAGCTGAACCCAAGCACCCCCGAACTCAGCCGAGACTGGCGCAGGGTGGCGTTCACCTCGTCACCCAGGCTGTCCTTGAAGCTGCTGACCTCGGCTCCCACAAAGCTCGCAAAATCTTTGGGCGCCCAAAGGAAAGCGCAGCAGGATGGGAAGGGTCTTAGGTGTTGAAGGGGTTCTGAAGCCTAAGCCCTGTACTGAATCCCCCTAGGACCCTAGGAGCCGAAACCCCCCTCTCAGGTCCCCGAACTGAGCAACACAGCGCCCTCCACTCCCCACTGCTGTGGCTGCAGCTCTACGGGCAATCCACATGGCCATCTCCACCTCAAGTCGAAACTGTCAGGCAGGGGAAGGTTGTTGGCTTTGCCTTTTTTTTTTGGTGGAGTTTGGGGCTTGGGGTTTAGGGTGGGGGGGAGAAGGGGGGGGGGGGGGGTTGGGGGGGGTTGGGGGGGTTTAGGGTTTTGGGTTTGGGGGGTTTGGGGGGTTTTGGCTTTGGGGTGAGATGGGTAGCTCTGATAAAGCAGGTTCCCGAGGCGTGGGCCCGATCTCGGTAGACCCAAGCAGGAGAACCTCTGCAAGCGTAGTCTATGAATGGTTTGGGCTTTGGGGGTTCGGGTCTAGTGGTTAAGGGTTTCTCGCTTGGGGTTTAGGGATCAAGGCTTGGGGAACCCTAAACCCTAAACCCTAAACCCTGAACCCTAAACACCCCAACCCTACAAACCCTATAAACTCTAAACATCTCATGCAGGGGAAGGCACCGAAGCTGATGTCCAGGTCCTTGTGGCCTTGGAAGATATCCACGGGCCGACCTGAGGTTTTGGGGTTTAGGGTTTGGGGTTTGGGGTTTAGGGTTTAGGGTTTAGGGGTTTGAGGGTTGAGGGTTTAGGGTTGAGGTTTCGGGTTTTAAGGGTTCTGGGGCTTAGGGGTATTCAAGGGTTTAGGGTTTATGGTTCAGGAGTTTGGGGTTTCATGGTTTAGGCATTGTTGTGTTTCAAGGGTTTCTAGGGTTAAGGGTTTCGGGGCTTTAGGGGTTTAAGGGTTAGGCATTTAGGGATTTAGGACTTTAAGGTTTTTGGGTTCAGGCTTTGCGAGTATTAGGAATTTGGGGCGTTTGGGTTTGAGGGGGTTTGGGCAGGTCGGGTTAGGCTTTAGCGTTTGGGGTTAGGGTTTAGAGGAGATGTGGGCTCGGGTGGGTTGGGAGTTTGGGCTTTGAGGGTTGTCTTTTCTGATCTGGGTATTGCACCCGAAACCCGAAAAGGGCTGAGGGTTGGGTTACGGTTCGGGGCGAAGGGGTGGGCATTCCTAGCTTGCCAGACCCTTAACCCCAAGTCTTAAGCCATGAACCCCCAAACCTCCCCACCTTAGAGGTACAAAAGCCCCACAAACCCTACTCCAAACCCAAAGCCTAACCAAACTCGAAGCAATCCCTACCTAAGAGTGCCTTTTGGAGGGTTCCTTCAATTCGGGGTGGTGGGGCCCCTTTTGGGACAAAACCATACACGCACTCCGCTAACCCCTCGGTGCACGGCCCATGGGGGTCTTCTCAGTCACGGTGTCCGTGGCCGAGGGGAAGAACGTCGCCTCGCCAAGCCTCAGTCTGTTCAGTTCTGGTCGTCGAGGGGTTTGGGGTGTTGGGTTTTAGGGGTTTGGGGTTTAGGGTTTAAGGTTTAGGGTTTAAGGTTTAGGGTTTAGGGTTTAGGGTTCAGGGAAAGGTGTTGGGCTGAGGATGGATGTGCAGAAGAAGACCAGAGCCTTATACGGCCACACAAACTGGAAGTCCAATGTGAGAGCCGTTCATACCGAAATGCCCTTAAACCGAACACCTTCATCCCCAAACGATAAAAACTAAGGCTGCTAAGCTCCAAAAGCTTTTTCCCTACACCTAAACCCTAACCCTAAACCCTAAACCTTAAACCCTAAACCCTTTGAACCTCCAAGATCATCCTACATCCATCCCCCCGCCACAACCGAACAACTCGCATTTAACATCATTCCCTTAAATTGTGATCCATTGCAAACCATCCTTGAGCTACCCTGAAAATTCTGATACTCCACATCACGGTGCTGCACATTTGCTGGCTTCTTCAAGGTTTCCCCCAAACGCCTTCAGCCCGTAATTAGCCGAATCGAAACTGGTGACCTCAGAACTGACGCTAAACCCTAAACCCGAACCCTAAACTCGAAACCCTCAACCCTAAACCCTCAACCCTACACCGCACCCTTAGAGCAACCCAGAAACACAAAATGGCCAGAACTGGCCCTGGGGGCCCCGGGCGGCTTCCAGTCGGCGTCATCCGCCCCGGCACCATTTGAGTGGCCTTGGGGTTTAGGGTTTAGGGTTTAGGTTTTAGGGTTTGGGGTTTGGGGTTTAGGGGTTTAGGGGTCAGGGGGTTTGGGGGGTGTAGGAGGTGTAGGAGGTGTAGGAGGTTTGGGGTTTAGGGCTTCGGGTTTGGGACCTAATCAAACCCGAAACCCTGAACCCTAAACCCTAAACCCGTCTAGGGCATGGGCCACCGCTGCGCAACCCTGAGGTTGAAGTAGGGCTCCGAAACCTGGAACCAAAATTATAGGGTTCTTAAGGGAGGGGGGTTCAAGGGGGGTATGTAACCCAAGGTTCCCTAATCCTCCCCACTTCCCTAAGGCTCCCTAAGCTTCCCTAAGGTTCCCTAGGTACCTACCCCCTTGAACCCCCCCCTCCCTTAAGAACCCTGTAACAAAAGCGCTTTCCAAGCAGCCGTTGGTTTTCGCCGCAGCACTGCCGTTGGAAGGCCCTTTGGGGTAGCCATTGTCCGCATCAATCCTCTGAGCAATTGCATTGCTGTTCATTCTAGTTAGGGCTTCGGGCTTCGGCTCAGGTCTCAGGGCTTAGGACTTAGGGCTTAGGGCTTAGGGTTGGAGGGTTTAGGGTTTAGGGCCGGTTTTGCCCACATTCCCAAGCGACGCACTCGCAGATTCTGCTTACGGACAAGCCCCTAGACACAAACCCCTACGTAGACCCCCGAAGCCCCATATGCCGAGCCCAACAAGCCCTAAACCCTAAACCCTAAACCCTAAACCCTAAACCCTAAACCTTTCTACAGCGAGATTTGGCGGGGCATCGGGCCTCTGGACGAACTTGGCCGTCACCCAGCCATCCAGAGGCTGGGAGAGGCCTGTCATGGCCGGAAGAAGATGCTTGCAGGGTGTAGGGCTTTAGGGTTTAGGGTGCTGGGCTTTGGGTCTTGGGCTGTGGGGTTTTGTCTTGGGTTTAGGTGCGGTAGAAGTTTTTGAGGCTTAGAGTTACTTTACAGCTTTAACCCCGAACCCCAAAGGCCTTAAACCCTAAACCCTAAACCCTAAGTAAGCTCTAAGCCCTAAACCCTGAACCCTAAACCCCAACCGAAACCCAAAGCCCAACCTCCGACTGGACTGGCTGGGGCCACCACGTAGCCGGAGCCTGCCGGAAGCCTCCTCCTCCTGCGCGAGCAGGGAAGCAAGTGGGGGTCGGGTTGAGGGTTCAGAGCTTAGGGATGAGGAGGGTTTAGGATTTCAGGGTTGAGGTTTAGGGCAGTTTGGGGTCTCTCAGACTGTGGCAGTAGGTAGTCGAGAATAGGACGCCTTGATGCCTATGACCCTTCGTAGGAAGCACACATTGTATGCATCTATCCTGTCCAACATCTTTGTTCGTCAGGGTCAGGCGCTCCAGCGTTCCACACCATATGCGAGGACTTGTAAAACTGTGCTACAGAATATCCCGAGTTCGGTCGTTCCTCGGAAATATGCTATTCCGAGACAACCAATCGGGAGCTTTCATAAGACTCCTCTGCTCAAACAAGCGTTCCCGAGGCTGGTCTGGGGCGGAAGCAGTCGAAGACTCAGGGTTTAGGATGCAGGGGTTTAGGGCTTATGGGCTTTAGGGCTTAGGATGTAGGAAATTAGGGCTTAGGGGCACCGCTCCTGCACCACCGTGACCTGCGTGCCAGGGAGAAGCTCCTCAAGGACCTGCCACCACTGTCACTGTCCTTCACTGCCGTAACCCTAAACCCTAAAACCCTGAACCCTGAACCCGAAACCCTAAACCCTAAACCCAAAGACAGTCTGGGCTTTAAGGTCTCGGGCTTCCGGTTCAGGGCTCGAAGCCTGCCAGCAGGACTGGCTCAGTCAGGGCTTTGAAGCTTCAGACTTCCGGTCTCTGGGGGCCTGTTGCCAAGGGAAGCCCTCATGCGAACGAAGCTTCCATCGGCACGACCCAAATGGCCCTAATGCTCTGACAGATGGTCACCACTTTCTGGGTACTCGACATCGTAGAAGCTGATATCCGTTTAGGGTTGCGTCTGACTTAGACACCTTTAAGGCCCCCAATCCCACCTCCTTTGGGAAACCCAAAGCCCAAACCCTCAAGCCCCCACACTCTACACAGCCACGCTAAGATCTCCTTCTTTGAGCACTTGCTTCATAACAAACCTAAACCCTAAACCCCAAACCCTCAACCCTCAACCCTAAACCCTAAACCCTAAACCCTGAACCCTGAACCCTCAATCCTAAACCGATGTAAAAAAGGGGCTCGCGCCTCCGAGTCGAGGCTGGCGGCCTCCCGGACGATGCAGGCATTCTGGCCTCGTCTTTGAGCCAGCGTGTCGGGCTTGGGGTTTAGGGTTTTAGAGTTTTAGGGTTTAGGGTTTAGGGTTTAGGGTTTAGGGTTTAGGGTCTAGGGTCTAGGGTTTCAGGGGGATTTTGTCGATCAAAGTAATCAGCCTACCGGCGAAACCCTGAAACCCCAAAACCCGAAAACGCTCAATGAAACTCAAAACACCCTAAACCCTAAACCCTAAACCCTAAACCCTAAGTTTTGCTTACTGGCTCTAACTTGCAAGGTTTAGAGGGTTCAGAATTCAGGACTGGGTTGGGGGCTCAGGGCGCAACCCTAAACCCTACACCCCCAAACCTGGAGCCTTGCGCAGCCGAGGTGTGGGCACACCACCGTGCCCTCCCAGCATTGCTCTGACCTCCGTGGGGCAACAGGCAGCCAAAGAGCAGCGATTTAGGGTTTAGGGTTTAGCGTTTAGGGCTTAGGGCTTAGGGCTTAGGGCTTAGGGCTTAGGGCTTAGGGTTTAGGGTTTAGGATTTAGGGTTTAGGGGTGTAGAGTTTGAGGTTGTGTGAGGGTCTTTTTGTTGGGCTGCCTGGAATCCCCTTGCAGGATAGAGGCTGTACCTACTCCACGCGAGCCCACATGGACGTCGGGTCCCATGACTCTTCTTTTTTCCGACCTGAGCAAGAAAGTCGGCAGAGGATCCATCTTGGAGAATTTGTGTGGCCTTGCAACCGGGAGCGGAGCGACCTGATCCACAGGCCTGTGACAAGGTTTAAACATCACCTGAGCCAAGCAAAGCACCTCCTGGAATGAGAGAAATGCCAAACGCCTACCGATTCGAATCTGGGAACCCCTCAAAAGATGTACCTTTCATAGCAACCGTGTAAGTCGAACCAGCTGAGATGCTACAAATTTTGCTTCAGTATGGTCCAGTAGAAGGCTATTCTGCAGCTTGGTGTTGAGGGCTTCGTGCGAATGCACAAGAGTCTCCGGGCTCGCGGCGCAGGCTGGAGCTGGCGCCATGTGGGCATGGCCAGAAGTCAGTGCTTCTACCGCTTGCGTGATGTTTAGGGGTTAGGGTGTAGGGTTCAGAGTCCAGCCCTGTAGGTCTTGTGGTCCCTGGGGCGGGATTCGGGTTCAGGGCCCAGGGTTACGGCGGGGCTTGGGATTTGGGGGTGTGGGGGCTTAGGGTGTCGGGTTTGGGGGTCTTAAGTTTCCGGTTGGCATAGGGCTGCGAGTCGGCCAGGCTGTGGGCAGCTGTCACAGTGCTTGAGGGTTTGGGGCTGAGGATTTAAGGTTTAGGGTTTGGATAGTCCAAGTTCCCACATTTCCACAACTCTCCACAAATCCACCAACCCTGAGGCAACTAAACCCTGACCTCAAGCATGAAGCAGGTGTTGGCCATTGGGCGTTTTTTCGGTTTAGGGTTCAGGTTGTTCTGCACAAGGAAGATGGTCTCATTCTAGAGCTCGGGCCGAAGATGCATCCCATGGCATGCGATGTGGGCCTCGGGCTTAAGGCGATTGAAACCTACGAGTTCAAAGAGTGCAAGCAAGCTGCATCGGGCACATTTGAGCGTTCAATCCTGCGGGCAGCAATCACTCGAATCTTTGGAATGCTTGCCTATGCCCCGGCTTCCCCATTCGTGCTCTCCATTGACACGATTTGCAGATCTTGTGAACATTGCTGCGAGCCACAAAGAAAGCTCGCCATTCAGCCTTGCTTCACTACCATTTGCTGAAGAACCCCCCCCCCTCCACAAAAATAATGTACTTGTAGAAATAAAAACATCTTCCCTATATGACCCTTATAAGGATATTTCTACTTTTTTTTTTTTTTTTTGGGGGGGGGGGCGGTTCTTAAGCAACTCTTCAGGGCTTCACCTTGTAGGTGACCTGATTCACTCCTGCACTCAGCTTCTTCGAGGCAACCTCTTCTAATCGGCTGGCATCTTCGCCGGTGAACAGCGGCACGCCATCGCCAAGACTGACGGGCATCTTGCTGACAATAATCCTGGCGAGTCCAAATTCCTACGGACACGCGTTTAGGATCAGCTGGCCGTACATGGACAGACTGCAAGAAGACCGGACCTGGCTAGAAACACTACAGGCGCGAGAGGCCGTACACTGTGCACCTGAGGCCCCCTAAACAGCTGCAAGCCCTCTCAACCCCGCAAAGTTCGCGTTTTGAGTTTTGAGTTTAGGGTTGAATGTGGTTGAGGCAAGATGGCCCCCCGGAACTGAAACCACGCCTTTCGTCACCCGAAAGCTCGAGGGCAAAGGCCATGGGGTTTAGGAAAGCCTTCAAAGGTCTCATCTAATGGAGGTCAAAAACCGAAGATCTTGCGCTACGTTCGGGGCGTGCCCCAGCATCCGACTCACTGTCTCCCCATTTGGGGCTGAGCTCCTCGTCAGCAGCCGCGCCGCCAAAAAGCGGCGGATGGTCTGGCCCCCATCCACGTAGACGTCTTTGACACCCGAGGCGGCCAGATCGGCAAGGATGTCCTGGTACTGGTCAGAGTTGGTTGCGTTGCATGTTCCAGTGCCACCAGTCATTCCTTCTACTGGCTTCTCGTAGCAGGTTTGCAGTGGGTTTGAGGGCGTCTCATGGCGATTGCAGGTAGCTTTCATCTGTGCAACCTCCCTGCCCTAAACCCCCAAAATATGGACACGACGATTATGTTCTCCTGGCAAAAGATCATTGCTACAAAGACCCGAAACCGACCTCCCAGACCTACCCAAAACCCTAGGGTTTGGGGTTTAGGGTTTAGGGTTTAGGGTTTAGGGTTTAGGGTTTGGGGTTTAGGGTTTAGGGTTTAGGGTTTAGGGTTTAGGGTTGAGGGTTTAGGGTTTAGGGTTTAGGGTTTAGGGTTTAGGGTTTAGGGTTTAGGGTTTAGGGTTTAGGGTTTAGGGTTTAGGGTTTAGGGTTCAGGGTTACCCACCCGCCCGGCTCCTCTGGCTTTCCTTTGGCCAGCTTCACCTTTCCTGTTGGACGCGCAGATGGGGCTCGACCGGAAGCACATTCGTGCATTTCAGGGTCTTAGGGCTGTAGGGTTTCGGGGGGTGTGGGATTCTACGGGTTTAGGGCATTGGGTCCAGGGGTTTGGGGGTTAAGGTCGAACTTTACAAAAGCGAAGCTTCCCGCCAAAACGTCAACATGGTAGCCCTCTATCCCTACACAACATCCGAAAATGCCAAAATCCCCAAACTTCAAAAACGCCCCAAACCCTAAACCCCAAAATCTCCCGAAACCTTACCCCCAAAACCCTAAACCCTAAACCCTAAACCCTAAACCCTAAACCCTAAACCCTAAAAGCTCTATGAGCTGCCCAGCTTCCTTTCAGCCTCTCGGGCACCGCCACCCCCTTCTCCTTAGTTGTCCCGCATGCTGGTGGAACTGAAGGTTAGCCTTCGGGACGATATAGGGCTTAGAAGCGACCTAAACCCTAAACCCGAAACCCTAAACCCCTAATCCCTGGAGCCCTAAACCCCCGAAGGTTCCCAACTCAGCGACTAAGCCTCGCTCAGGACCACCACCAGCCGGTCGCCATAAGGCCAGGGGCCACCCTGGGTTCAGGGGTTTGGGGTTTGGTGTTTGGGGTTGGGGGTTTGGGGTTTGGGGTTTGGGGTTTAGGGTTTAGGGTTTAGGGTTTGGGGTTTGGGGTTTAGGGTTTGGGGTTTGGGGGTTTGCGGGTTTGGGGGTTTGGTTTAAGGGTTTAAGGGTTTAAGGGTTTAAGGGTTTAAGGGTTTAAGGGTTTAAGGGTTTAAGGGCTTAAGGGTTTAAGGGTTTAAGGGTTTAAGGTTTAAGGGTTTAAAATTTTAAGGGTTTAAGGGCTTAAGGGTTTAAGGGTTTAAGGGTTTAAGGGTTTAAGGGTTTAAGGTTTAAGGGTTTAAAATTTTAAGGGTTTAAGGGCTTAAGGGTTTAAGGGTTTAAGGGTGCAGGGTCTAGACTTAGGGCTTAGGGTTTGGAATAGCTGGGGGCTGGTCGGAGTCCTGGGCCATTTCGATAACTGGGACTCAAGACAGGGCCAACAATCTGGTTCAACCTACATTTGGGGCAGAACGGTTTTTAAAGCAGCCATAAGCAGCTGTAATTATGAGAGGTCGCTACAGCCCAAAGCTCCCAGCTTATGCCTCGGGCTGAGGGCTTCGGACCTGTCTTGGGTCTTTGGGAGGCCCGGCAATCAAGAGGACAACACGAAAGCATGCAGAGGGCGTGTCAGACGAAGAAATTCTCCCTTAAGGGGATGCTGTGGGCTGTGCACGCCGTACATTCTCGGAGGGAGCCTCACCGAAGTATGTATTAACGTTGCCAGGGCTGGATCGAAAGACAATATGAAGCTGGAGCCATTGGACCCGCTGCCCTGTCACGTGAATTCGCCCTCGATCCTATTGCAGTTCTGTGTACAACAAGACTTCTGGTCTACTCGGTTCTCTGAATGCCCCTTTTGTGGCTCCGAAAACCGCCCACTTATCGCGTCCACTCGGCAGCGCCTCCATGTCCCTCACGGATTCGAAGGTCTTGCGCCCCATCACCACAGCGTCCACAGAGGACAGGAACCGCTCGAAGCCTGCCTGCGAGAAGCAGGCGACGGCATGTCCAAAACTCAGCTAGGGGTGGGGTGGTAGGGTGGTTGCAGACTTGAAGCATGTGCACACAACATGGAAAATTGCATGTACGAAGGGTCATGAAACTCCACATTTGCCGGAGCATGCCTCAAGGCCTCACATCATGTTTCTGCAGATCCCGCAGTATACTTTTCATCATCCCGCGTCAGCCTCGTCCTCACTCAGCTTGCTACTAAAGTCATTCCTGAGAGATGGGCGGAAGTTGGCATAACAACACTATGATCTGTTTGACTTTGGTGGGTAGTCGTTACTGTTTCGCAACCGCCCTGGACAAGCTAGTTAGAGGAGAGCCGTGGTACCTCATACTGCAACTCCTTGCCGCTTGGAGTCAACCAATCAAGCGAGCCATCCGTCTTAGCGATGAAGCCATCCTCGCTGGTCGCGATGAACACGGAGGCCGCTGGCAGCCGGCCCGTACGCACGGCGCGCGCCGGCGCGCGAGGCAGTGCCGCCAGCGCGGTGACGGCCAGGGAGAGTGTCCTTCGACGACCCGGCGGCGGCGCAGGGGGGGCGACAGCGGGGAGCCTCACTGGCGCCAACATGGCGGAGGCGACCTGCAAGCCGGAAGCGCCTTGAGAAAAAGTGCATTATTTGGCAAGATGAGGGCCACCCATAGTAATACTCTAAGCAAGATTGGCGAAGCCAAGGGGCCGTCAACTCTAACCCTGAAAATCAGAACCTGTCCCGTAAGCCTCAGAGCCCTATGCGGACCCTAAGCACCATAAAGCCCCAGAAAGCCCCGAGATCCCCACAAAAGTGCCAGCCCCGAAGCCCAGAAGCAAGAAGCATTGGAAGCAATCGCCTTGGTCCGAACGATTCAGGGGGCCCACTTGTGAGGCCCCTGGCCCGCGTGGCCGCACACTGCGGCATCGACTACACAGCCTCTTAAGTTTCTGTTTGAGGCTCTTACATTAAGGTTTAGGGAGTTTAGGGTTTAGGGTTTAGAGTTTGGGGTTTAGGAATTAGGGTTTCGGGTTTGGAGTTTAGGGTTTAGGGTTTAGGGCTTGTCTCATGGTTTCCTTAGAATGGTGACTTTGCGGCAACTTCAACTCTCCTCAACAGCAACCCAGAGTCTCTTCCGGAGGTCTTTGCAAGTCTGCTCCTAGCAAGGAGAAGCGGAACACAAAAACCCTAAATGTCGTGGGCCACATTAAGAGCCCTACGTGTTGAGGCTCCCCCGACCCCCAATGAGGAGCGCGGATCAGAAAGTCCCATCTGGACTCATTTCTGAACTGGCTTCGTGATGAAGGACCTCAGATCTTTGGGTGCTGCGCTTAGTAAGGTCGAGGCCTAGAGGGTTTTTGGAGTTGGAGGTGTCAGGTTTGGGCTCGGCAAGGGCCCTTGTTGGGGTTCAAAAAGCAACCCCACCGCAAAGATGTGGCAACATCAACAAAGATAATAAAGCAGTCGGCACTTGCCGCCTAATGCTTGGGGCTTAAGGTTTGGGCGGGGGACTGGCTGAACCCGAACCTTGCTTGGTTTCAAAAACTCAACCGACATGCAGAAACCCTACCCCTTCCCCCCCGCCCCCGCCCCACCCACCCCCACCAGCCCCAGAAGCCCGAAAAGAACGAGACCCTCAACACACCCCGCTCTGTAGGCCCAGGGCTGGCTAGTGTCCGGGAACCACATCCGGAGCGGATAGAAGTCCGAGCGCAGGGGCTTGTCCTGAAGGTTTGGGGTTTAGGGTGTTGCGCTCAGCGTTTAGGTTTCAGGATTCGGGGCTTAGAATCTCAGTGGACGCTGTAAGATCCCTAAGCGCTAGAACCCCTAAACCCTACAATCCCCTAAACCCTAAACCGCCCAGACCTGAAACCCATAAAACCTGAAATGTCAAGGCGCGAAGGGCCCCCCGGATGTGTTATCTTCCATACCTTTAACCGGACCTTCCAGAAAGGGACCCTGATGATCAACAACCCCCACTGCTCACCATGCCTGGCCGTCCTCTACCAGCGCGACCTGCATGGGCTGAAACGGATTTGGGGTTTAGGGTTTGGGGTTAGGGCTTAGGGTTTTTTGTTCGGGCTTTTAAGGCTCAGGTATGGGCTTAGGATGGATCGCAACGGTTCTCGAGTTTAGGGCTTAGAGCGTCGGGTTGAAGGCTTAATGAGGGTAGCTTTAGGTGGTTCGGGGTTTGAAGGCTTGGGGCCTTCGGCAATATTCGGTTGGGGCTGAAGCGTCTACATCCTTCTGGTTCAGGGCTTCAGGTTAGGATTCAGGACGCAGGGCTCGGAGCTTCGGGTCAAGGTGTTTCAAGCTTCAGCTTTGAAGACTTTGCGGGGTTGGGCTCATAAGGCTGAGGGTTCAAGGCTTCGGATTTTAGAGGCTCAGGATTCAAGGACTTAATGGTTTCCCGGGTTTGGGGTTGAGCTTCTGCTGTAGGGGTTTGGCATGTCTGGGGTTGAACGATGTTGAAGACAAGGGTTCAGGATTTTGCAGGTGAGCAACACCACTTCCAGAAAAGGCAGCTGCCACCGAGCTCTTTTGCCAACGTGGCGCCTTCAACCCTGACTCCTCAACCCTAGACCTCTAAACCTCGAAACCCGCACCCCTAAAAACTCCCCAAACCCCGAAATCCCTCAACTCGAAAATCCCTAAACCCTGAACCCCAAACCCCACCTCGATAAACCCCTAAACCCCCAACCCGCAACCCCTAAAACTCCTCAAACCCCTAAACCCTTCTGCTCTGTCTCGTGCTCGCCACATGCAAAGTTTGCATGTCTTTCAAAGAGCGTGCCTTGAGGTGGTCCTTGAAGTAGCCTCCCCTTGGGCTGAGAGCTAGCAGCGTGTAGGGTTGAGGGAGCTTCGGGGTTTAGGGTTTAGGGTTTAGGGTTTAGGGTTTAGGGTTTAGGGTTTAGGATTTAGGGTTTAGGGTTTAGGGTTTAGGGTTTAGGGTTTAGGGTTTAGGGTTTAGGGTTTAGGGTTTAGGGTTTAGGGTTTAGGGTTTAGGTTTAGGGCTTGGGGTTGAGGGTTTAGGGCTTAGGGTTTAGGGGGTATCAGAGGACTCTTCGATCATGGAGGACTTTAGGTTGAGAGCAGACGTTGTTTCGTTGAACGCACGTCGTAGGGATGGCTGAGCGTTTTTGTTCCTTCTTTCCGTTGTGGGAGACGGTGGGGGCCGGGGGGGGGGGAGGGGTGGCGGCGGGGTTTATTTGTTTTTGAGAAGGGGGCGGGGGGGGGGGGGGGGCGAGGTTTCCGTTCTTGGGCGAACCTAAGGGTTGTGAGCGTTTTGGGGGTTCTAGGGCTTCGGGGATTCAAGAGCTTTTGGGTTTGGGAAGTCCAGGGGCTTCTGGCGGTAGTTGTCCTCCGCAGCCTTTGGAGAAACAGGTGAGGGGGCTCTCAACCCCAAAACCTCAGCCCTCAACCCGAAAACCCTCACAACCCTAAACTTTATCCTAGAACCCTAAACCCTCAGCCCTCCGGCCCTGAACCTCCAAACCCGAACCCTCAACCCTCAACCCTCCCTCAGCGCCAGGCTCGAACCAGTTTCTCATTTTGGCGCTGGTGAAGCCCGACTGCGCAGCTGTCGGGTCGAAATAGGGTCCCTAGACAATGTAGGGATTATGGTTTGCGCAGGGCTGTTTCGAGGGCTTCGACCCACTCAGGGGTCCCTGAAACCCTCAACCCTAAACCTCAGACTTGGCTCTTTTGGGGCTTCAGGATCCTGGAATCGGGTTTCGGGGCGTCAGGTCTTCCGGTGTTTAGGCTTCGGGTGTGGGCAACTCGCGTCCAGAGTTCGGGATGAGCCACTTACTCTCGAAACCATGCCACACCACAAGGTGTCGGTGGTGGTTGGGGATTGTAGTGGGGTTTGGCGTGCTAGGATTCCCAGGCGTTGGAGTCTTTGGAGTCGGAGGGCTTCAGGGCTGAGGCTGCGCCTGAGGTCTTGGGGCTCAGGCCCGAGCTTGCGGATGTGTCGGGGTTTTGATGCTCGATGACAGATCCATAAACTGGGCCCTGCAAGCCCCAACACCGGAGGGGTCACCGATTGCCACTCTTAGCCCTTTGGAAGGCCAGCGTTACAACGGCTTCCCTTGGATCCAAAAGTCTGCACAAACTCTCAACCTCCGAACCTCCAAACCCGAACCGCACAAACCCTGCAACGCAAACTGAAAACTACCAGTTGAGTTTCGAAACAGCCCCCCCGCTATGGGGTAGCATAATGTCAAGCTTCTCAACACAAAAAGCCCACTAGACTCTCTGCAGCAGGCTGCAGCAGGCCTGGATCGCTCCCTTTGGATCGATGTAGGCCCACACGTAGTCTGGAGGAGGGGGGCTTTTAGCACTTGAGAGTTGCAGCCTCCAAGGGTTGACGAGTGAGGATTTAAGGACTTGTTTTTGCTTTTGTGTTGTTTTTTTTGCGGGGGGGGGGGGGGGGGGGGGATGGCGGGGGTTGGGATCTTAAGGGGGTAGGGGGTTGGGTGTCTCAAGTATATTCGAGTTCAGGTTTGTGGGTGGTCTGGGGTTTTTAAGCCTGAGGGTTCGGGGTTGGGGCTTCAAGGCTTGGGACTTTGCGCGAGCCGTCTGCAGACCATCCCAGCCAGAAATAACGAATTTCGCATCAAGCCGGCATTTAAGCACGGCGATGGGACCTATCAACTCGGCAACACATGTTCCACACCCGGTGTGGCGATATGTATCGTGTCGGGGCTTTAACCTTAAGGATTTGGAGCTTGAAGGGCTCAGGAACGAGGCTCAGATCAAGAGCATACGACTTACCGTGGACTGATATTGGGGGGGGGGGGGGGGGGGGACCTGTTCCACAGTAGGCTGCCTTTGAGGTGCTTTTTTGAGAGGGATCTTTGGTGAAAGCTATCCATGAAGGGACGGGGGTGCCTCCCTAGGCCCTAGAACAGCCCCCATATGGTGGATCATCCAAAGGCCACCTTCCGTAGCTGACGTGCAAGCCTGGTAGCACGACCAGCTCTTCACTATCTGGGAGCAGGGCCCTCCCCTGCAAGCTTCATTGCTTCTACATTCCTACATGCCTCCGAAGTTGCATCCATGGTGGGGTTCGGGAGTGGAGGCGATCATCACCCTATACCATACCTCTGAGCAACCCTGTCCCAGATGTGGTTCTGAAAAAGATGCAGCGATGCCTGTCTCACCACGCCGCACGCTGTTATGCAACCCCCATAACATCAGGCGTAGCGTTCGACAAGGACCTTCGAGTCTAACGACAGTACCAGCAAAACTTGTGTGTGTGTGTGTGTGTCTATGCGAAAGGCCTTGTCTTCTTTCATCCTGCAACTGCGGGCCCCAGAAAGGCAGATGCCTGTCTTAAAGCCCATCACGCGCCGGCCATGAAGAGGCCGTTTGTGACGCATATGACACCCTCCCTACAGAACGGGCACTCATTCTTCTTGGGCTTCTTCTCATTGCAAGCCTCGCACATCACGTGGCCGCAGGGTGCCAAGACCACCATGGCCTTCATCTGAGCGCAGACGATGCAGATGTGGGTGGCCCCGCGGGCCCTCTTCTTGGGCGGCTCGTCGGCCTGGCAGGCCTTCCAGCTCACTTCCAGCCGAAGGGCAAAGGGGGG